GAGGAGTGGAGAGAGAAGAGGATGGGTTACTGCTTGAGTTTGTTTTGACTCTCACTTCACCCTTAATGGTCAAAAATTAGATGGAGATGTTAGTTAATGCAGCTTTAATGCTTCTAATGTGTATATTTCTGATCTCTCACAAAAGCCTCAAAAAGAAATAGAGTATTGGCATTATTAGTATCAAACAATTTGACTGCATATGTTGAATAAAGACAAATAACCAGTGGACAAAGAAAAAGGAATTTTGGCAACAATATTCTTCAGTTTTACTAAGGATCACTGCCACACACCTTTTAATTGACTGTGGACTGCAAAAATAAGACTGCAGTTTTAACTGCCTATCTGATTGACCAGGGAAAATCCCTATGCTCACAAGCTGATATGTTATGATTGTTACCTAAAGATTTACAGAAATACATACATGGCTTATCCAGATGGATCTCTGGTTTATCTTTTGAAATGAAATTAAAATGACATAAAATACAGTAAAAGGCGGTTTTTGTCTCAGCCTGGTTGTCATGGCTTTCAGTTTTCTCACCAGGCCTGTCACCTGGTAGTTGTCCCTGCTCAAACAGCTGTGTCATTTAGGAAATGCCCAAAAAAGACACACGTATGTTTACATTCACCTGACAAAGACCCCTAGTGACTGCAGGAACTTTGTTGACCATCAGGAGTTATAGAAACAAAAGTCCACAGAGGGGAGGAGGTTGTGGCAAACATGTGGACTGCTGTTAGTCTCCTTATTCCTACTGTTGGTCACTGTTGGATTCTTTTATACATGACCATGATCATTACTTAAACTTAACTAGGTGATTATTATTATAACCCAACACCGAGCCCCTAACCTCGACAAAATAAGGTTTATTAGTTTGTTCTTCATCAAACCACATTTGCGTACAACTTCACAAAGCTGCTAGAATGTCTGTAGATGTTTGTTCTTGTTTCCCTACCAATTAAATTGACTTTTTTTTTGCCAAGGAGGGTATTTGAACCAATTCAGCAATGTGCTGTTAGCTGCATATTTTAATCTCCTTGTGCTGTTACCTTAGTGTGGTGGAGAGGCTGTCTGAGAGTCTATGACAGCTATGCTGGAGTTTTCTGTGTTCATGTCTTCTTGTGTGTTTTTCCAAGAACTTGGAGAGACCAGGCGGATTTTGTCAGTAAAAAAATTACTCTCATTTTGAAATAAACTCTCCGATGGGTAGTCAGTTTCCTTCATCTTCCAAAACAATTAGATACAGGGGTCTATATTTATGCAAATTATTCCTATTGGGTTAAAGTGTCCTTGTCTTGAAATTTTTTAGTGCAAAACTGAAACAGGCTCTAATTTTTGATTTATAGTTCATAGATCTTTTTTTCTTCACTCTCTCTTAAAACTATGTAATTCTTTTATTACTATTTGTTTTAGGGTAGAAGTAATCAATAAGTCAATTTTGGGCTTTTCTTCCACTCACTGCACATCCATAATTGTTTGTTAATGATTGTTGTTTGTTTGTTTGTTTATGTTTGTGCAAATAAATCAATTCAAATTCAATTCCTTCAGACCCCTGTATTAAGTATATATCTATGTAAAGGTTCTGTCTTCTGTGATAAACTATATAATTACATTTTCTTATAGCTCAGTTTTTTGATTTGCACAGATCCCAAAAGGTGGCAAAACCTCTTAAGACCACACCTGGCAAATCTTTGGCCAGTTTTCTTGTTCTTCTCCTGTCAAGCTGTGTGTGAGGGGACTACAGGGTGACAGAAAAAAGCTGCATAAGTACAAGTTTTTAGACAAGTTAAACCCAGAACAATGTTTGAAAGCCTTTATCCCCGGACTTTGTTCGGGGTGGCTGTGGCTCATGAGGTAGGGCAGTCGTCTACTGACCAGCAAGTTGGTGGTTCGACTCCCGGTCTCCCCGCATGCCTAAGTGTCCCTGAGCAAGACACTGAACCCCGAATTGCTCCTGGTGGCTTGACTAGCGCCGGTGCATGGCAGCTTGTCGTCATCAGTGTGTGAATGTTGTGTGTGAATGGGTGAATGGTGTATCATCTCTGTAAAGCGCTTTGGCCAGTGCAACACACTGTGAGAAAGCGCTATATAAAATACAGTCCATTTACCATTTATCATCCACCTGGCTGTAAGTCACACTCAAACAACATGGCAAGCCATACCATCCACCTGAATCCGCCCTACTGTTAGCAGCTGCCTGACACTGAGCTATGATTAAAATGCTGGCTGAGATTTAAGGATGTCACCGTAAACATCAGTGACATATACACAGGCACAAACAACCAGAACACATGTGCATAATCCCTTATGCTAGAGGAACCACAGATGATAATGCACTGCACACACACAAACAATATATTTTCCTAGAGTAAGTTTCCTGTGTTCTTGAAATGTTGTTTTGCCTCAAAGTCAGTCTATTGTCCCCTCTGCCACCACTTTTGTGAACACAGTCATTTAAACTTAGCTGCACAGAGGTAGGTAAGACTCAAATACCGTATCTTCACTTGAAACAAGAATTAATTCCACTTCTAATTTCACCTCACAGTGGTTTCTTTTTTTAATCAATCTCTGCTGCACTTCCAATTCAATGAGGAAAGCTAACAGTGATATATGAGTGTCTGCAGGAAACAATAGTGCTGATAATGACTTTTACATGGGGCAGTGGGGATACCTGCAGCACTACACATACACACTTGTTCTTTTATCTGCATGAGGACACTCACTGACATAATGCATTCACTATCCCATAACCCACCCACAATCAGAACCAAATGCCTAAACCTAACCCTTACCCTAACACTAAACCTAATTCTAACCTGAACCCTAAAACCAAGTCTTAATCCTCAAAAGGCTGTTTCAGAAAGTGAGGACCAAACCAAATATCCTCACTTTCCAAAAATGTCCTCACGCTATAGCAAAAAATTCTTTTGGTCCTCACTATGCAGCAAATACAAGAACTCATGCACACACAGTCACAATGCCACTTGTCACAAAGGCTCCTATTTACATTTCTGCCACAACACTGCCCAGCAGTGGTAAAGCCATTGCTACTGGAGCAGAAGCAATGGCAGGTGGAAGGTGGAAAAAATCAGTACAGTAAAGATAAAGAAAATAACAATAAGCAAAGTAATCAAAGTAAGTA